GTTGAATGTCATACTTCATTTTCCTACAAAACAACGAATTCAATTGTTGTTGTCCTTGTAACAAAATACAGAACCTTGGATAAAACAATTTCAAACCTAGAGATGGAACTAGCTGCAGCAAGGGCGTTGCAAGATTCTATACTGAGTGGTTCTCCAATAACAGAAGACATAAAGATCCCCGAATTGGCCAAGAAGAGAAAATATCGAATGGTCATAGGGATAAACACTGCCTTCAACAGCCGCAAGAGAAGAGACTCAGTTCGTGCTACTTGGATGCCACAAGGTTTTTGAGCTTCACTATTTGTGTTTTTCTGAGTTACTTGTGGGGATTTTCCAAATGTTGGATGCATTTTGATTATTGACTCGTGGAAAACAGGTGATAAGCGAAAGAAGCTAGAGGAAGAAAAGGGCATTGTAATTCGTTTTGTAATAGGTCACAGGTGAGTACTACAACTGATAGCTGTTATATTCTCAAGGTGTTGTGTTCCCAATCTTCTTGATAATGTTGTTGGCTCTTAATTACTTTCTGGCAGTGACCCATCATCACCCATTTATAACTTCTTGGTGTTGTGTGTTTCCGTCAAGAGTTTCTTAGAGCATATATTAGGGATGACAAAAACAAAGATTTAGTTCGCATTTCAATTTTGTCTAGTATAGTTGAAGACTCAGTACTTAAAAAGATACTTTAAAGTGGGGGAAGCTGATATTTAATATTACTCCTAAGACTCCTTCCGTCTCAATTTGTTTGTCTGGTTTTGACTTGGCACAGAATTAAAGAAAATAATTAAACTTTTGAATCTTGTGGTTTTAAGCTAAAGATATGTAGAATGTACCAAAATGTCCTTCAATCTTGTGGTCTTAAAAATTAGAATTAAAGAGTTACCAAAAAAGTAAAGAGGTCTTCTTTTTGAAACGGCTAAAAAGGAAAGTAAGTCAAACAAATTGAAACGGAGAGAGTAGTTTGCATATTTATTTACTTGTAATTTGATGTACTTGTAGTCTTACTGATCTAATTTTCCAATAATCAGTGCAACATCAGGTGGCATTCTCGATAGAGCAATTGAAGCAGAAGACAAGAAGCATGGAGATTTCTTGAGGCTGGTAACATTAACACTTTTTGGTCTAGTCTTGTATCAGATCCCACCCCCCTAAAACTAATCTAACTATCGGACATGTTACTGTGACTTCTGTAGGAACATGTTGAGGGATATCTTGAATTATCTGCCAAGACAAAGACATATTTTACTACTGCTGTTGCTCTGTGGGATGCTGATTTCTATATTAAAGTTGACGATGATGTACATGTAAATATAGGTAGGACTGTAGGACCTTCATAGATGGTTCAGAAAGGCTATGTTTGTATTACTACAACAAGTGCACTGCTATACTTATGCCTGTCACTCATTTGAGAACATGCATTTTGGAAACTTCAGGTGCACTGGGAGCAACTCTAGCTAGGCATCATTCGAAACCTCGGGTATATATTGGTTGCATGAAATCTGGTCCCGTCCTTGCTCAGAAGTAAGCAGAGGAGTTCTACTTTTGACCGTAAACGAGTCTTAGATATATTTCCTCGACTCATCTCTATTTTTCCCCTCTTCTCTTTGCAGGGGAGTGAGATATCATGAGCCTGAGCATTGGAAATTTGGTGAGGACGGAAACAGATATTTTCGACATGCAACAGGGCAGTTATATGCCATTTCAAAAGATTTAGCTACTTATATATCTTTAAATCAGTAAGTTTTTGTTGTTTCCTGATATACTTGGAATGTATTATGTTGTTTTGCGTGATTATCAATTGCTGATCCTGATCTCTAATCATCCTAGGCATGTTCTACACAAGTATGTTAATGAGGATGTCTCGTTGGGGTCATGGCTCATTGGATTGGATGTGGAACATATAGATGATAGAAGATTGTGTTGTGGAACTCCGCCAGGTAACAATTCATACAGTTATTTCTTGGAAATAGAGCATTTTCTAGAACTGTCAGTCTTAAGCTTCCATGAAGTTTTGATCTTTGTATCTGCATTGAATATTTCCAAACTTGGAGTACCGTTTTTCATATTTCCACATTTGATTGTTTTTCCGACCAAATAAGGCAGCCAGGCAGGAATTATAGCGATAATGATCATTTGCTAATTTGGAAAGGTTATTGAGATCTGCTTACAAGATCAAGCAATTGATTTTAGAATTTCTCCAAGTACTCTATGATCTTTCCATTTTGGTTAATTCGAAAGGCTTAGATATTTTTTTTGGTTGGCCTCATTATTTGGTTTACATGGTATTAGTCTATTAGAACAACCACGGGAACCGAGAGGCGGTGGTTTACCCTGTGGCAGTTGATACACTATCAAGAAACAGTACATGATTCCTTCCCTTTTATCCTCATGACTGTTCTGTACTTCTTCACATGGTACCATTCAGGTAGTGTAGCTTTTTTCTTCCACTTGGCTGCCTTGTCCTTTTATGCACATGGCACCAATCTGTTAGTTTGTTCTTTTTTCCTCATTATTGCCTCATGAGACAATTTTTTTCTATACTATTTTCATGGCTTGTTTGATTGAGGAAAGTTCTTGAATTTGCCTTCCCATTTCCCTTTTTTACGCATTTCAGTCCTCTTGATTCAGAGAAATTCACTTCCCCTCCATACATTAGATCCTTGAATGTAGGAAAATGGGTAAAGAACAACTATATATATTCAGACCAGGAACGTTGACTCAGGACGAAGAAGTTTGATTTGATTAATCTCTAAATGTTCCTAGATGATTAAATTTGATTTTGTCTATCTTAATTTCACCAGATTGTGAGTGGAAAGCTCAAGCAGGCAACATTTGTGTTGCTTCCTTTGATTGGAGCTGCAGCGGGATATGCAGGTCCGTAGATAGGATTAAGGAGGTTCATCGACGTTGTGGGGAAGGCGAGAATGCTTTGTGGAATGCATCCTTTTGACAAAATGCATCATTTCTCCAATCTCTGGAGGCTCAAAAAATGATTACACGAACACTCGAAAAAACAAGATGTATCCGAGAATTCTCGGAAACATCAGATTTGATAAAATATAAACTGTATCAATGGGAGAGGGAAGAGAGGTTGCCACTGTATCTGCTCCAAATTTAGTAGCTAAGGAGAGGGATAATATTGTAGCAACCAATATGTGAAGCAAAAAGTGTAAAGAGTCATTCTTTTTAGATGCTTAGAATATAATAATTTGTTAGTCTTGTGAGAGGAAACTAATAAGTGTACACTTCACCAATTTGTTTGTTGCTTTTATATGAAGTAGTGAAATGAAATTTCCCTTTTGTTACTTTGTTTCATTCTTATTCATATATGGGGAGAGGGATGCGGGAAAGTGGGGTCCTCCGTTTTTAGAAGTCAGATTGGATTTCGATTGGTGCTTAACAGAAGGATTCCAAATCTCGGAAAGGCGAGATAAATTTAACGCTATGCTCTTTCCTTAGGGCTTCCTTCTAGTGGGGCTCACAACCAAAGAATGCATGGGATGAGGTTGCCACCATGAACTAAGGATTGGAAGGGTTGAGGATAGAGTTTCTTTTCATTTTCAGGTAGTTGGGAGAAGCAGTTGATTCAGAAACATATGCGAGGGCGGTTGAAATACTTATTTGCACTCAATATTTGTGAGTTTGACTGATATTAAAGAGTAAAAGATTGTCCCTGGTAAGAACAACTATTCTTAATATAATAGACCCTCGTCTCAAAAAAAAAGAATTTGAGCTGGATACTAAAATAACATGATATAAAACAAATGAAGCAGTAATAAAACTAAAGAAGAAAATCATGTGATAACTAAATAATATTTACTAATAAGGAGAAGCAAAGAGGATACTAAAATAACATGATATAAAACAAATGAAGCAGTAATAAAAACTGAAGAAAAAAATCATGTGATAACTAAATAATATTTACTAATAAGGAGAAGCAAAGAGGAGGTTAACCCTTAGCTCTCCCGCATGAAGTAAAATAATACTCGACTAGCTACTAACTTTCTCACATGAAGTACAAAAATACTCAACTAACTACTAACTTTCTACCTTGATCTTCGACTTGGTACGGAAAGACACTTGTTTGACGAAAATGGGCTAGTTTGTCTGCCTCATGCATGAAAAAAGCCATGGCCCGTGGTTTAAAAAGAGAGAATGATAAATATGGTCCCTTAAGTTGAGTGAAAGGTTTAAAGTATTCCTTTAAATATGATCCGAGCAATTTTAGTCCTTTATATTTGACAAAAGTAATTTATTTCATTTCCGGCAAATACTTTTGGAGGTGTCATATTTGTAGGTTTAACTCTCTCTTTGATTTATTTTTAGAGTTTGATGCTACATTTAGAGTTGTTTTTGTTATATTTTTTTATCTCTATATTTTGTGTAGCAATTTCTAGAATTTAATGAGACTTCTTAGTATTTTTAGTTACATCTTTTAACTTTCTTTAAATTTAACAAGCTTAAATTGATCGTGATCAAGAAACCATTAATTTCACTCGATGGATTAGGAATGATTAAATATTTGATAAAATTCATGTTTGATAAATTTAAAGGATCTCAATTGACTTTTAAAAATGTAATTATTCACTTTTCCTATCTAAAATTTCTGGTATAAAACTCAAACAATTGATAGCTCAAGTAACATTTGGTGATAGTTTAGGGAGGAAACTTACCTGCCTGACGGTTCACATATGAAACAATATTCTAGGTGTCTTTTAACCCCTAACTTTTAAGTATTTTCAACAAAATTCATGTTTGATAAATTCAAAGGACCCCAATGGATCAAAGCAATATTTAAGGGACTACTTTAAACCAATCTTTAAATAGAAGGGACTATTTTTGTGATTTTCTCGCGCGAAAAAAAAGGGATAAAATATTATCCAATTATATAGAGCATTTATTTTTATAAACAAAGAGAAAATTTTGGATGCGTTTTTCACTCTCTTTGTGATTTCTTTGAGTAAGCTCTCTTTTCCCTAAACAAAACTCCGGAGCTTTTTCCCCTTTCTGTTAGAAAACCCTAATTTTATTTTCATCTTTTGGTTTGCAGATACGCCAATTTTTTGTTAATCATTCTCAGATCACCATGGCCAAAAGCTCCTTCAAATTGGAACACCCGCTTGGTAATTTTTCCTGTTTTTTTCTTTTAATTGTGTTTTGGTTATAAGATCTGATCTTTGTTCAATTCTGGAATTTCTTTAATCAGAGTGATAATTTGATGAATTATTGTTTTGGGGGTGGAGATAGGGTGGTGTTGTGAGGTTTGGGAGGGAGATATGGTGGTGTTGTGAGGTTTGGGAGGGAGATATGGTGGTGTTGTGAGGTTTGGGGGTGGAGATAGGGTGGTGTTGTGAGGTTTGGTGGTGGATGGTGGTGGGGGATTATACAATAAAACCCTGTTTGTGCATATGCTTGATTCTTGATTGTGGATTTGAGTGTCTATTTGATACAGTTGGAGGTTTTGGAATTCCTTTTTTCAGTTAACAATCTTTGTTGTTGTTCGAACTCTTCAAAAATGTGTGGAGGATCCTACACGGATGCGGGGTGGAGATAGGGTGGTGTTGTGAGGTTTGGGGGTGGGGGATTATACGGTAAAACCCTGTTTGTGCATATGCTTGATTCTTGATTGTGGATTTGAGTGTCTGTTTGATACAGTTGGAGGTTTTGGAATTCCTTTTTTCAGTTAACAATCTTTGTTGTTGTTCGAAATGCGTGGAGGATCCTACACGGATGCGGGGTGGAGATAGGGTGGTGTTGTGAGGTTTGGGGGTGGGGGATTATACATAAAACCCTCTTTGTGCATATGCTTGATTCCTGATTGTGGATTTGACTGTCTATTTGATACAATAGGAGTTTTTGGAATTCCTTTTTTTAGTTAACAATTTATGTTGTTGTATGAACTCTTCAAAAATGTCAATGGTTATGGAGTATTCTACATGGATACGGCAACATATTTGGAGAGTCTGAGCAACATAGGTTTCGATTATGTATGCGTATTTGTTCTATATTTCTAGTAGCCTAGTACTTGTACTTGCTGCAATTTTAAAGATTTTGTGAGAAATTTGCCACTATGTGGTGTACAAAGTTAAGTATAAGAACATCGTACATGTAGTCTGGTAAAGAATTCTCTATTTGGTTGAAGCTGTTTGTTCTTATTGTTAATCATTTGATGTTCTCCCAATAACTTTTGGAGGGGTATTGTCTATTGTTTGATGGTTGAGCATGGGCTTCTTGTGGATACCTACTTACCTAGTGTATATTTTGTTTATGTGCTTCTAATACTTCTAGGTTTATCTTTTGAATTTTCTTTTCCTTGGAACTTTCTTTTTCTACAATTTTTGGATGTCGTGTTCTTGTTATGTTAATTTGGTTTTGCATTCATGTAGAGAGGCGACAGGCTGAAGCTGCTCGTATCAGGGAGAAGTACCCTGATAGAATACCGGTACAAATTTCATATATTCTCTTGCAATGCTCTTCTGGATGTGCTACAAAGTTTATATGCTTTTTTTATCCAACCTAATTCCTTGTTTCTTCTTGCTATTTAGGTGATTGTTGAGAAAGCTGAAAGAAGTGACATCCCTGACATTGACAAGAAAAAGTTAGTGTTTTATCACCTTGAGCTTTGCAATGTTTACTTGGGTTTTCATTTGACAATGTCCTTACATTCAGAGTGCTTTATTATTTTGTCACAAATGAGCTTTTGTTTCCTGTGATAATGCCATAATAATGTACCTTTCTAGTTGTTGCACTCGAGTAGTATGGTTACTATGGTGTATATCTTCCCTTTGAACTATGATGTGGCTCTCGAGTTGTATGGTTACTATGGTGTATATCTTCCCTTTGAACTATGATGTGGCTCTCGAGTTGTATAGTTACTATGGTGCATAATTTCCCTTTGAACTATGATGTGACTGATGTAAATTCTTGCTATATCTTTGCGCAGAATAACTTATTCAAGTATTTTTTTATTGTTGTCGAATCATTTTTTGAGCCATTAGTAGTAGTATTACCATTAATCAGGCTGAAAGATCTTTAATTTGCGCTAGCAAGGTATTTATAGAAATCCAAGGCTAGTGTGAAAATTTTGTTGTAGAATGTCGAAATGAAATTCCAGGACCTTTTTACTCTTTTCTTATAGTCGACTGGTGTTAAAGCAACTCAAACAATGATTTCTACTGCCAGAGAGGTTGAACAAAGTTGACTTAGCTAATCTTCCCATGCGGTCATGCTCTTTCTAAGTTTTGCTGAGGTTTAACTGCAAATTGTTTGTTAATCGAAATACCTGCAGGTATTTGGTTCCCGCGGATCTGACTGTTGGCCAATTTGTGTATGTTGTTCGCAAGAGGATTAAGCTCAGCGCTGAGAAGGCTATTTTTATCTTTGTGAAGAATATCCTCCCCCTACAGGTGAGAAGAACACTTCTATAGTATCTGTTGTTCCTTTGCTTTGAACAGTTCCTTTTTTAATTGTTCTTCCACATTGTTACAGCTGCCATGATGTCTGCCATTTATGAGGAACATAAGGATGAGGATGGCTTCCTGTACATGACCTACAGTGGCGAGAATACCTTCGGATCCTTTTGAAGTTTCAAGCAGAGACCTTATTACTGTGTAAATAAGTCTTAAGAAAACTTGTAAATACTTACGTTAGCCTACTCTTCTGAATTATCTTTCTACCTAGATGCTGTCTTGGGTTGACATTGACTGGTTTAAGTAGTTACCTTTATGAAGTTGCTCATTTCCCGTTTGCTTAGATGGCTTTACATTCCTGTTTCCTTTTCCTTGGTCTCAAAACTATTTTGAAAACGGTGGGGAGGTGATTAGATATGACATGACAAGACGAAGTTTTCTACCCCCAATCATCACTATTTTAACAAGTAATTAGTGTTGTTTTGGATGCATATAGCAGATCAACTTCATAATGCGCATTGTCTTCATCTTCACAGTTACTTTCATCAAAGCTCATCCTAATCTCCGTTGATGACATCTATACAACGGAGTTTTGTCATTTATTGATGAAATATTTTAAGATTTTTTCTTTCTTAGTAGTAGATGAAAAAGATTGTTGCAAATTTTATTAGCGTATATGTAATTTTACCCTTACTTTATGGAGGGTAAAGAAATTGTTTTCGACGTAAAAACACCTTATCCCCATTTAGGAGAGCAGGGAATGAGAGAAACATATATTGGGCCACAACTGTTGGGTCAGCGAAGCCTGATGCTTTTTTAGAGTCAATTTAATTAATTTTAAAATTAAATTAGATTGCATTAATTTAATAAAATAAATTTTAGATATTCAAAAACTATAACTAAAAAAGGAACGGAGAGTGTACCTCTTTGCCAAAAATGATCAGAATTTATTTTTCAGGAAAATATTTTTCAATGTACCAAACATGCCCTTAGCTGTTCTTTTCACTATAAGCCGCATTTTGCCGGTTTGCCTTATCTAGCTCAACTCATTTTCCTTTCGTACCTCGAATCCATCGCCGTCAAATCACAGCTTCTTCCTCCTCTTCGTCGGCGGCGGCTATGGCGTGTGTGCCTAATTCATCGATGACTCTTCTCTTCGTCGAAATGGGCGTCGGCTACGATCAACACGGTCAAGACGTAACCTCAGCTGCTATGCGAGCCTGTAAAAACGCAATTTCATCCAATTCAATACCAGCGTTCAGAAGAGGATCTATACCTGGAGTTTCATTCGATCAGATGAAATTGCAAATCAAATTAGGAGTTCCTCGGCCTCTACATCACACTCTAGATCTGGAGAAAGTGAAATCAGTGTTTCCTTATGGAAGAATCTCGAACGTTGAGGTCGTTGATGGCGGATTGATATGCTCCAGTGGAGTTGAAGTTGAAGAAATGGGAGATAAAAATGATGATTGTTACATTGTGAATGCTGCTGTCTATGTTGGTTACTGATGATGATCCATCTTCGAAGTTCGATTTTCCAGGTCAATTTTTTGGGAGATTATTCGAATGGTTGAATTGATAATTTTGTTCAAATCGAATTATTATCGAATAGTAACAATAGTTTACATTTTATAGCAATTTAAGTCGATTTATGTATCTCTTTGATTTTAGGTTATGTTAATTCGAATTCAAATTCTCATATTTATCTACTAGTTGAAGTCTTTCGTTGCGAATAAGCTGGAAAAATTGAGTTGTTAGTGAGATGGAAAAATCGAAAGATTAACACGATTGTTGCAAATTGAAATACGAATTCATGATTTTGAAAGCATGAATATGAAAATCTATTTATTGATTGCTCGTATAAGGAAAATTAGATTTAAATCAATAATTGAGTACTCTAATATTAATTTGAGAGTTAGAATCGTGAAGCTCAAAATGATTACAAATGTTTTTGTACAATCGTGTTAATTAATTAATGATATTTAGGCTTAATTGATTAATCAAATTTTTGACTAGTTTGTTGTGGCTTTTATGAATTGTCCTTTTATATATTATTAAATTAAACAATTGTCAATGTATTGGTGTGCTATAAACAATATCAGCTACTTTATTAAACTATTTTCAGCTCCTTATAAAGAAATTTGGAAAGGTGCATGCATTCGATAGATGGATAGGGAAAATTTATTTGAATCGAATATTTATATTAACGTATCATAGTTAAATAATTGACTGAACACATATAGAAACATCTAAAATTAGTTGTATAATTTTTCAATTTTCAATGGAGACGAAAAAATATTAGATGATTTTTCTTATTTGTTCTAGTTTTGGTGGATAGAGTTACTTGGTACTTGTTGGTGGGAATAGCAAATATTTCGTGGAATTAATCGAGATGCACAAAATCTGATACTGACCAACGATCATAAAAAAAAAAATAAGTCGTGTACATACTGAACACATAAGATTCAATATTTCACTGAATTGACATTATTTGTTATTCCATTTATCCAAGCAACTAGCACTAAAATAGGGTTTATGTTCAATAGAGTAAACTTTATTTTGGGTCTATAAAATTGATTGGCAATGAATAATTGAAAGTTGTTTGTGGACTATATAAGAGATTGGTTAAGTCACGTAACGACATATAACAACATGAATAGACATTTAATAAATATCATATTTGGGTACGGGGCCTATTCTCGCGGAGCGGGAATGCACCATTTACGATATGATATTCGATAAAAGTCAATAATTTTAATTCAAGTTATTACATTTGTATATATAAATCATAAATTTAGAATACAGTAAATTTAAAGAGCAAAATTTTGGTAACGCATGCTTGATGGTTAGTAGAATTATTAAGGTAATAAGATTTCTCCACCTATTAACATTCTCGATTTCAAATCCTCTATATAAAATAGTTTTAATAGAGAATGTTTACTTTACTTGTACTTTAAAATGAGTTTACGCTTTTTTTTTGTTACAGTAAGTGTTGCAATTGAATCAACTCTAGATATTATAGAAAAAAGTTTTAATGTAAGCATAATCGTAATTGACTAAATATCTATCGTAATCGTGATTGAATCAAATAGTTTCAAAAGTTAAAAACTTGAAACAACAAAAGCCATTCACTAGCCCATCAAAGGTTTGGTTCCATTGTCAAAAGCACATGTAGCAACTAGCAAGTACAAAAACATAATGGTGATGGGTTAAATGTCAAAATTGTTGACCTAAATCTTGTACACACATGAAGACACCTTCCCACTAGTTATTCTAGTGTTTCTTATTGCATCTACCTAAATATTTCTTGAATACATATTTTTTTATCATCGTGATGTTTGGATCAATTTTCACACGTCTCAACTAATTTCACGAGATACTTGCTTTCGCACATCAATTAATAAGAATTATAATTATTTTTTAAGTGATCTGATTACATAAATAATATTTATGTATAGCCCCTATAATCTTTGGGGGGGAAAAACTCAAAAATATGGATGTTGCTCTTTAGAAGGAAGACCACATTCATTAAAACGTGTTTAATTGCTAGTGGTGGGCCCAATAGAGAAAATTGAAAACAATATTATGAATTGAGGAGGGTTGTTGACACTTTTGTCCTTCAAGGTAAATAATTTTTTTCCAAATTATAAATATATATTTTTGTATTAATATTATTGGAAATAACCTTTTTTTTGTGAGACCACCGTGAATAATTATGGTTATTATTATATCATAATATTTCACAAATTATTATCTTTTCCCTTAAAAAACTTATATCTTACGTTATAAGTTCAATTGCTAAAAGCAAAAACTAAATATCGACTAATTTGAAGGGCAAAAGCACAATTATTTCCTTGAAAAGTCAATTCAAACATTAAACAAATAGTCATGGGAAGTATTTACTTCCTTCGTCTCAATTGATATGATGGAAAAATGATTCAACACGTTAACTAGTATAAAATTTTAAAAGAAAACGATTGAAATTTATGAGTACAGTTATAAAGTCAAATCATTATACTCATTAAGAGTAGAATACAAAATTTAAAATTATATTACTTTTGAATCGGAGTTGATTTAAACAAAATATATCATATAAATTGAAACAAATTAACTATTTTTTATAAAATAATAAGGAATGGTAATGGGTGGTTTAAATGGACTTAATTGGCATGAACAACTTTCACACGGTGTTCACATTTTTTGTTGCTCTCTATATATATAACAGAATCACATAATTTCAAATAAACAAAGCAAATAGAGAGATTTTGAGGAGAAAAAAAAGGAGAGAAGCCACAATTTCTTCATTAATGGCTTTGTTTAATTTCTGGGGCTGTTTCTCTGAATCTTCAGAATCAAGTCGATTCGTCTGCAATGGCGACGTTTGTGTTCTTCGCGATCACAACAAAGTCACTGATCAAAAGAAGAAGAAGAAGATAAGCTTGAGGATCCCTTTTTCTCCGCGTAAATAGTGAAAAAACGAACAAGTGATGTATTACTTTCAAATCGAGATAGATCAATTGTTTTTTCTTTCATATATGTGAAAAATGGCTCTGTTTCTGATCTTGTACAACAAGATTTCTGACTGAAGGTTGAATTAGCGCAGCGTAGGAAGGATTCTGAATTTCTGAACTCAGAGGCGGATCTAGGATTTAAGCTGAATGAGTTCGGTCTGTAAGTTATTTAGCATTGAAAGAACTTAAAATTATAGGTTCCGAACTAGTACTATTTATTGCAATTGTAGTGGATTCTTATGTGTAAATTTATGTTCCGCGTTGAAAGCAGTGGCTTCAGATGAATCGCAGCTGCAGCATCTTCTTCTACTTCTGATGGGAGACTTTTTGTTGTATAGAGAACTTGTAGTAAATCAATAGTTTTATTTTACAGTATATTATTAGCTTGAATGAAAGTGAAAATTCATGTACCTATGCAAAATTGATAGGGAATTTTAATAGCTTAGATGGTTGATTAATTCAACTTTCACTTCTCCCCACTTTATAATCCCCTCTGGGTTTGAAATTTATCCATTTCAATGGATTATTTAAGACATATACAAGGTCTAAACAAAAGTATTGGATTAGATGACCTCGTAGCTCCTTCATTAAAGCTATTGGGTTCCAATGAATCCTTAACTCGTTGACTAGATTCGTCCATGTTGATATGGTGAATAGGCTTACCAATCATAACATACATGGAGAAATAAGTAAATTTCAATCTTTAAAGTTCTTAGAATTGAAATCATTGCACAAATATAATAATTGTTTTATTTATTTTCACCTATATTCAGTGTCAAAAATACTGAGTTTACTTGGACCATAGCGCACTCACAAATATTACAAAATGGAGATCCTAAACTTCATTGATACAACTCCATGAAGTTAACTCGGTAATTTTGACGTTGAATATAGGTGAAAATAACTAAAATTGATATAACTAACCAAAATATAGACATGCACAAAAAAAAAAGAATACCAATTCTATTGCATTTCTCTGAAATTTACGCCATTACATATAGTCGAGAACCCACGGATGTAAGGAGGAAAATGAGGTAGAACTACAATAATTGAAGTAAAAATGACAAAAACTCCAAAGGCTAGTCCCACCTTACTCCAATGTACAATGAATTAAAGCATTTCTATCAGTAAATGACCATATAGCAAACACTGGAACAAACGAACGACTAGTATTAATGTAATATGCTTACTTCTTCAGCTATCTAAATCGCAATTCCAAGTCAGTGATTGACATGAAACGATCCACGATTTGTGACCTGGACAGTGATCCTCCAGTTGTGCCTGCTGCCTATCCTAAACCTGAACTAGATCTATTGCCTCTTCCACCACTACAACATAACCAGTGAAGAAATAATACCTTGGAACATCCCAAAAAAATAAATGAAGCAGTTGACTCCAATTGATGAGTTGCCAACTTAAAGTTCCAACGAAATGAGACCCGATATCAAAGCCTTCAGCAATTACAGGCAGATGCTAGTAGTTTGCTGAAGCAGTGATGCCCAAAAAGAAGATTCAGACATGCCAGCCAAAAGATCCAAAGGCTCTTGTAGGTTCAGACCTCTTCAAATATTTTATCAGAAATTGCTTGGTCTCATAATTGCAAGGCCAGGTCTGGCTGCTGAGAATCAACCAACACAGTTGAAGATGGACGACCAGGAGACCCAGATGACTGGAAACTAATGTTTAAGTCAGGGGGGAGGGAATCCTGCTTCTGCCTTGGCTGTGCTGGTTGATTAAACCCCTGCCAAGCAGATTGTACCTGGAACCTAGACAAGTCAGCAGGTATTGATTGGCGGAAAATCATTTGCGGATTCTGAAATTGAGCTTCACTGCCCACTCTTGCAGGATGAGGCACAAAAGCATGAAGTGGACTACTGTTCTCAGCCTGAAAGTGCATTGCTGATGCAGGATGTTCACCCCGAACTCGTGAAATTTGTTGCTGGACATTGCGAGAAGGGTTATACAATGAATCAGCAGAAATATGACTATTCTGCAAGCTTGCTGTTTCCGTGCCTTGTCTGAAACCTCCTGCCCCAACTGACATCCATGCTCGGGCAGCAGTGGCGGCGGCATTTCCTGAATCATCTTTCCTCACAGATGGAGTCACAGGAGAAATTGGAGAAGCATCAGTTAGGGACTGACTCAAAGAGTTCTGTTGATTTTGAGCCTTTTCAGACAACATTCTCATCA